ACTGTGTATGTTTAAAGTAATTAAATTGTAAATTACAATTATTATAAATCCATAAGTATCTAGAATAAAAATATTAAGTTAAAATTATAGAAATTATGTTTTCTTTAATTAACTTTAATTCAAATATTATTTTTTAAATTATTCTATTATAACACCCCCATATTATAATAATTATTGTAAATATGTTATAATTTTCCAAATTTTCCGACTATTTAGTATTCAAATTATGTATGTATTGTTTTAGAAATCGAGTATGGAAATATTTTGTTTTTTAATGCTAAATAAATAGATATGGGAAATGCGCTAGAATAGGTGTTAACTAGATGCAATGTATTCCATGTAGTATGTACATATTATGTAATATTTGTTTATTATATATTAATTAAACATATGTAGATATATAGGATATTTTACTTAAACATTGAAATTATTCAAGTATTGGAATTGTATATTTGTTAATTCATATAATATGATATATTTATTTTAAATAGGTATATATAACAAAAATAAATTTATATATTATGTAAGTATGTATATGGTTATGCTATGGTTAATCTTCTTTCTAAAACCAATAATAATAAATAATAATATCATAAAATTATAAATGAAAATTATTATTCAAATACCCCAATAATAAAATTAAGGTAAATTCTGTGTTACAAATTACAAAAATTAATATGAGCATTAAATTTTTACATATATATGTGCATATACATATACATATATATATATACAATAAAATGTTAAAAAAATAATAATAATTTATATTGAAAATATTGAAATTAGTTTTTACCAATTTCTGAGATTCCATATTAATCAGATGTGTGATGTGTATAAAGTGTATCTGTATGTATATTGCTACTAATTTGAAATGGGAGTTTCATTAGCTCTAAATAAATAATTTAATTAAATTTTTTCTATGTATTCTCTTTTATATATATGCATATATACCTATTTGAAGTTTAATATTATTCAAGATAATTAAATTTCAGTTTAAACTTTACTAAATTTTTAATTAATTTTTAAATTTAATTTTTTATCATTGACTAAATTCCTAAATATATTTAGGATATAGAATTTCCAATTACATTTCTTTGGGAATTCTCTATTCACCTTGATCGTTTTAGGCTCATATTCAAAAGATTTTTTTTTACAAGAAAGTAATTGTACTGATATTATTAGAATGAAGTAGAGTGTATGAAACGAGAAATTTAGAACTAAATTTCCAAGAAAAACAAGGATAATTTTCTCAGAAATTTATTAAAAATATCTAAGAAAAGTTGTTTGTGGCACTCAAGCTCAATGGTAGCTTTCACAATTTGAAAATAAAATTACAAACTTCATATCTAATTACAAATATTATTTGAATCACTAAAATTTTCGAACATTTACCAAAAAAATTAAGTTGGTAAGATTGATTTTGGCAGTGATAGATTAACACAATTTTTGTTTTTTTTTTGGTGCAATTTTGTGTTCTTGGTGCAACAGTTATCGTAATGGTTTTTAGTATTTGTTTTTTTTTTTTTCATACTTATTTAGAAATTAAGCAAAATTGCGTCAGAGTTCACATTGGATGGACATACAAAATTTTGTATTGAAATTTACATTTTGTTTTTTTTCGTATTTGATAAAAATATTAATAACCTCGCTTATTATTGTAGGCTCGAACGTCTCTTTGTTGTTTGAGGTACAAGACGTTTTTTTATGTTTATATAGCTTTTACAGTTCACAATCAATGTGAGTGCGAATAAATAATAGGAACCGAACTAATAGGAATAGACCGAAATAATAGGAGCCAAAGATATTCCATTTTGTAGTCTTACATTTTGTTTGTAAATAATATCGTAAAATTTTACAATAAAAACTTATTGCAATAAAAAATTCAAATTTATATTAAAATTTTTCGAAAATACAGCCTTCATGTGAATGATTTACGTAATACGCAGTGTTCAAAAAAACTTGTACGTAAAGTTCTATCCATAAAAAAACTTAAAAAATTCTCTCTAAATTTTAAAACATCAAATATGTCATAGATAAGTTGTCGAATTATTAATTTACTTACTGTACGAGTGTATATGGCAATATACAAAATTAGCCTGAGGTCATGTAAATGTGGAGAAAAAAATACCAATTTTTTTTTTTTCTAAATTCCATCCTACCTTACATTATGGTAAATTAAGTAATGCAAAACTAAATAATATAAAAATGAATTAAGTTAAGTAATGTAATTTCCTTTATTATACATATACAGAATTCCTAATGCGCATAATATATGTAAGAGGTACACGTACATGTATGTATGTAAATATTACCACTCACATTATACATAAGTGCACATTTATGGTAACAACTTATTTAAATTAAATTACAAACTGAAAAAAAAAATGCTTCTCTTCCTTTTTGCAGTCATTTAAAATAATAATTGTATACATACAATCTATATATACAATAATAATATAATATTTTACACATGTATTTGCCTAAGTGAATTTCTGACCCATATTATATTCACATATTCACATGTGTATATAAAATGACGATGGATAATTTTTCATTTTTATTTAATTTAATATTATGATTTTTTTTTCGTTTTAACATCGTACATTTTATACACATGTATCTAATTTTTACCCTATTTAACATTATTTTTTTTTTGTACTTTAAATTATATAATAAAAATGTTCTTCAACAATATTTTTATACATATTATGTATATGATTTGAATTTATTTGTGTGTATGTTCTTTGTGGTAAATCTGCTTACATAATAATATTATATAGAATACAATTAGTTGACAGTAAGGATATTTTTATAATAGAGAATATAAAGAGAAAAAAATATAATAAATGAATATAACTGAAAATATATGAGAGAAAAAAATGTGGAAGGACAAAATTATTAATAAAAGAAAAATTTATGAAAAATGAACAAAAATGAACGAAAAATTGCGATCTAAAACTTGAAGCTGAAAATGCCATCCCATTGTATTATATTTGCATAAAATAAAGAAAAACAAAAAAAAAATCGCAAAATAAGAATATTATATTAAAAAAACAACAAAAATATTATTTCAAACCTATAACCATAATAAGTTTTTTGTACTTATATAAACTTCATTCATAAAAAAGGATATTTCAGTCATGTACTTCCATGTACATATTGCATTATGTGAATGTCCATATTATGAAAAAAGAATTGAAGAACAAAAAAGGCTACATACTGAGATGTTATGGTAGAAATATAGTGTTTTCAACAAAATATGATTGCCTAGCAGGATAACAGTTATAATATATACGTATATAAATATAAGTATTTTCCAAAAAAAAATATGTACATAAATTTTAACTTTATATAAATATACAGGAAAGGAAATTAATTCAGAGATATCCGCAATATTTTTAATATTTTAAACTGGCAAAATAAAATTAAAGCTATACAATAATTTTTTTAGGCATTTCCTAGCTTATTTTTGAAAAGAATATTGTTATTTATTAAAATTATTAAATAACAAACTTGTATATAAGAATGTTTAGAGTCATATTTGAAAAGCAAAAAATATTAATTGTTAAATATGCAATTTTTATTGAAATTGTTTGATGTGGCCGGTGAGGCAGATCCATCAAATTAGCAGAAGTGTGCCGTCATTGAGCTTACGATTGCAGGTTGCCTATCTAAGCCATTCATTTCTTTTGAGGAATCCATCTACGTATATGATTTATATATAGTATTTATAATTCTAATTGTTAAAGTACATAATGTGTGTAAGTAAATGTAGGAATATGAAGAGCTTCAATTCAAAATTAATACGAGTATAAGCTCATTTTCTTTGACTGCGATTATGATTATTTTTCGAATAAGAAGGTTCATTTGGTTTTTTGCAACTGAAAAGTATAGAAATTTTTTTATATTCAATTTTTACAGTATAAACTTTAAAGTAAGCATAGGTCGCCTGTGTATAAAATCCTCTTACTTTCTATAGAATATTTTAAATGATTTTAAACAAATTTCTTAGACTGTATAAAAAATACAGAAAAACAAAAAGCAAAAAGAAAAAAAAACATAAAATATATCCCATGTATCCTTGTGTTATTTATTCGATATCCTTGAATTTTTGATATGCAAATTGGCGTTGTGGTAATAATATGGATAATAATTTTGGATGATAGCCTTAAGGTAATTTTCATTTTTGCAATATTTCAATTGATGATGATACCCTGGGACAAAAAAAAAAATATAAAATAAAAAATGGAAAAACATTTAAGAAAAGCAAAAAGAAGAGTGAAAAAAAGGGACTACCGTAACGTTTAAAACGACAACTATTATTATAGTAAAATTTCCGTTTTGGTGTTTTCTTTTTTCCTTTTTTTTTTATTCAATTTCCATTTTCCAAATTCTATGAATTCTAGTTAAATTGTTTTTGGTATGAGTTATACTAACTAAAGTAATTTTAGAGAAAAATTCTATTTATTTTGAAAAGGAAGCGCAATGAAATTTTTGTTGTACACTCATAACTAAAACTTGTAATATTATAAATGTAAATCAGCAAGGATAAAATCGCATATAAGTATGTGTGGGTAAAAACTATTATTTTTCTTCTATTCGAAATTTGAGTAATAGTGATGGTAAATGTAAAATTGAGTATTCTTTTCTGTAGTATTGTAAATGCTCAAAACGAGAAATTGCAAATATTTTTTTACCGTACCTTTGAAAGAAAAAAAAGAAGCAAGCTAATTTTGTTCTGGTGACAAAAAAATCATTTCCATAATTTTGTTTCTTGTCCCAATAAACCTACTCTCCCAATTTTTGTTGAAAATCATTTGAAAATGTAGTAAAAAATTATTAAAATGTAGAAAACTGAAAAAGTTTTTGAAAAATAAAATCTTGTTATTTGATCATTTATATATTGATAAGTTTTGAAACTAAAATTAAAATTTATATTAAAATTTAAGATAGAAAATAATTAAAATTAATTAATATATTTTCACTTTTATTTGCAGGTATCGTCACAAGAAATCAAAACGTGATATCAGTACAACAAAAATATTCAAAAGATTCAAAAATACAACAAAATATTGGTCAAAATGCCCTGGAATCAGTTGACAATACATTTAATTTTCATGATAAACATAGAACACAAAACAAAATTGAAAAGGTGATAAAAACAAAAACAACACCATCTATTCCAAGAAAAATTTCTAAAAAAAATAATACTATTAGTGTAAAAAATTCAACTTTATCTAATCTAGATAATACAAAAACATCTCCTAGTAACGATAACATTAGTAATGTGTTCTTACATTGTGCCAATAATTGTAAAAATAAGAAAAATATAAAACAGAATATTTCCACAAAAAAATTAAATAATTTACCGAAATCAACAAAATCAACAAAATCAACATTACAAATAACATCACCATCATCATTACCTTTTCAAATATATGATAGCCATACAAAAAATCAAAATATATCCTTATTATCTTCATCAGTGACATCATCTACTCTAGATTCTGTTGCTAAATCATCTAGTAAACAAAAGCAGCAACAACAACAACAACAAAACCACAATAATAAACATAAAAATTCAAAAAAACATAATAATAAATTGAAATATACTAATAATAATAAACATCATCAAAAAGATGAAAAACATCAAAAAAATAAAAAGCAACCTCAACGAAAACAACATCAGCAACAAAAACAACAACAACAAATACAACATCAAAAGCATAAAAGTCATCACTTAAATGTAGAAAATGAGAATAGTGGTAATAATAGAAATCATCAAAAACTAAAGCAACATTTTAAACAACAACAGCAAAAACGTCGTTATAATCGGAAATTGCATAATACCGAAAATTTAACAACATCTAATGTCATTGCAAGCCAAAAATATAATAGTACAATACACCATGTAAGCATAATTGAAAAATTACCTGTAAACCATAAACGAAATGTTAAACAACAAAATAATCATAACAATAACAATAGCAAGTCAAATAATCATACAAAATTATCATCATCATCATCATCATCATCAGAAAAATCATCTTTAACTACTTTACCTGATAACAAGGTAAATCATCATCATTCTAGTACAGAAACAGAAAATAATAAAAAGAAGAAGAAAAATAACAATAAAAAGAGCAACAACAGTAACAATGGCAACAATAGTAAAAATAACAACAAAAATTTTGTACAAAATCATAGCAACAAAATGAGATTGCATGACATTTCTATTAGTAACGATAAAAATCACAGTATGATACATCAGGATATTAAGAATGCTTCTTCTAAAAGTAAAAATCATCATAATAACAACAAAAATAATTACAGTAATAATAATAATAAGGTCAAAGTAAAGGTGCATCATAATAATCAAAATAAAAATGATAATAAGCAACATAAAGGTAAAAATCATCAACATCATTGTAATCAACATCAATTGCATTCACAGCAAGAGAATCCTAATCAAGCTAAGACAACTGTATTGCCACGTGTTTTAATAACAAATTCAACATTAACAAAACAAACAGTAAAAGCAACAAAATTAAATACAAAAAATAAAAATAAAAAAGAAAAAGAAGTAATAAAATCAAAAGTACCAGAATTATTAATAACAACAGAAATTGCAATACCATCCCATTTACAATCATCAATATTATCAAATATAGTTCCATCAGATATACAAATTTCTATTGCAAACAATACTTTAGATATATTTCAAACTTTTGCAACCAAAACAACAATACCAACAATAACAGCAACAACAAATTCAATTGAATTTGACCACCAGGATAATATTGAAAAACATAGAAAACTTTATGATGAAAAAATTACTTCAACTGATGAATATATTACTGGAACTATTGGAACAACAACTACAAATTCAATACCAATAGTAAATACAAATGTTGAAAAAACTTTACTTAAAACTGATATAGAAAAGGTTGATGAGGAAGTAAAAAATTTTAGTAAGTTAGAAGAATACAAAAATAATACAATTATAACTGCAAGGAGACATGTCAATTCATCTCTAGATGCACAACAAAATGACAAAAATAAAAATCAACAATTTGCAATGATATCAAATGAAAAATATGATGATATTGATGTTGTTAAAACTGAAAATTATGATGATGATGATGTTGATACAAGAAAATCATCATCATTACCAATAATTGATAAAAATAATAATGATGATAACAATAGTGTTAATATAACAAGATATCCAATTAGTAGAACAGATTATATGCATCAAGTTCAAAGCACTACAGAAAATATGCACGTTAAAGATGGAAAGATCGAAGATTTTAATGATAAAGATAATAAAATTAATAAAATGAATCAAAAACAATTTGAATTATTGAAAAATCAACAAAAGTTGTCTGAGAATAATGATGATGATAAAGATGAACAAACTTTAAATAAATTGAAAAAAATTGATTTATCAGTTGGTCTAATGATTGATTTATCAATTTTAACGCCAACAACAACTTCAATACCAGATACTCTAATAAATGTAACAACAATAGCGAAAGAAAATAATTTGAAAAATAAACGTTTTAAACGGAATATTGAAGAAAAATATGATAATATAACAGATATTACTATAAATATTGATAATGTTGATAGTTATAATGATGATGATACTAATGGTAGTAATATTATAATGCCAAATATAACAACTATAAGTTCAAGTGATATTAATACAAGTGATATTAGTTATAATAATTCACTCATAAAAGAATCTATAAATTCTAATATTGATTCCTATTCTTCTTCCTCCTCCTATTCTTTATTACCACACTCTTCTTCCAATCTATATTTAAATAATTCATCTATATCGATTTCATTACCAACAATTTCTTCTTCTGATTTGTCATCATATTTTTCAATTAATTCATCAATTCCAACAAATATAACAAGTCAAATTTTAAAAGGAACTACAAGATATAATGAAATTGAAATGATTTCTTCTGTCACTACTGCTACTACTTCTAATACTATTACTACTGCTACTACTACTACTACTAATGATAATTCTAATAAAAAAATTAAAAACAATAAAACTAAAATTACTAAAAATGAAGATATTTTACCATCTTCTATTCAAAATAGTCAAAATAGTTATATTATAAAAAAAAATAATAGTTATAATGATAGTAGTAGTAATAGTAAAAATTTTAATATAAATAATAAAAATATCCTGCCCTCACCACCGTTAATACACAAACAGCAAACGGATGTGTCAAATATAAATTCTAGTTTAGATATGAATAATATTAATAATAGTAATAATGAAGATAATAATAAAGATAATTATAATTATAATAATTATAATATTAATTATAAGTTAAATAGTTTTAATCAAAAACAAACAAATGTTAATAATAAATTAAATAATAAAAATATTAATGAAGAGTTTAGTCATTCAAATAATTATAATGATAATATTAATAATAAAAATAAAAATTTATTAAATAAAAAAATTTTAAATAATAATAATAATGAAGGTAATAAAAATAATAATAATAATAATAATATTAATAGTAAAAATATTATTAATAATGATAATAATAATAACAATAAATTAGTAATTAAAAAATTAATTAGTCCAAAACGTAAGAAAATTCATGAACCAATTGTTATTATCGATGATAATGGTGAAGAATTTGATAGCGGTATTAGTTCCGTTATATCTGATAGTGATAGTAATAGTTTTATAAATAATAATAATGATAATTTAAAAATAAATAAATTTAGTAATAATAAAATAAAATATAATAATAAAAATGGTGGGGGTGATGGTAATAATAATTATAATAACAAAAATAATAACAACAATGGTGATATAGAAAATCCTGATTATCAGCATGATGAACCATTAGTATTACCATTACGTCCAATAATGCATGATGAAGAAATGTCTGTTGTTTATGCCGATCAGCATAGTGAAGTTAAATTGGCATGTGAAGTTGATATGGATATTAAGAGTAATAAATGGTATAGAAATGGACAGGTTAGTAAGAATTCTTTACATTTCATTCTCTCATTAAATTAAATTTGATATTTCAATAAATTATTTGAACATTAAATTATTTACAACTAACAGCACATTAGTGCTCTAAAATAGTTTTTATTGTTGATCTTATCAAAATACGAATATATTACTGCTTTCGAAGTTTTTGAACATTCAAATTCAATTTTATGTTTCTTAATCTGTATTCAATTTCATATACAAATGAATGTAATACTATTAAAAACAATTTATTACATTATTTAAATTACTTTTATTCATATATCAAAATATATTAATTAATTGCATACATTTAGGATAAGACAATAAAAAAAAATTGAAAAAAATTGAATTAGTTAATTAAGGCTGTTAAAATAAATATTCTTTGATGGCATGGCATTTACAAGTGGATTTCTGTATTTATAGAAATTTGGAAAAGGTAGTAGTTTCAGAAATATAAGGGGCTATCTTATAATTTTACAAATTTCGAGAGGCGATAACATGATATGGAATCGAGATTGAAATAAATTATTATTGATTATTATCTAAAAGATGCTGTAGTTTCAGACCCATACAAGGCGAAAGGCTCTAAGCTAGACGAAAAACAGTTTCAAAAATTCGAAAAGAACGGGTTTTAGATAACAGTTAATTTTGGCGGCCATTTTGCATTTTTTATATTCAATTATAATACTGTGCCGCGGTAAGAGAAGCCAGTCACAATTTTACTGCGTTTGCAAAATTTAAAAAATTTTTGTGGTTTCGTTAAAATCCATAGTCAAAAAATGGCAATTTTAGGACGTTAAGGTTTCTATAACTTGTAGAGGAGTTAAAATATGTAACTAAAAATTTTCTTTAACAGAAATAAGTTTCTAGTAAAAGTCCACTTATATACATATAAAAATTCAGCTTTTTATTGTAAAAGATGTGGACGTTTTATAAACAGTTCTACGGGCGAAGGAACTGAGTAAAACTAATAAGCACTTTTTTGCGCAATTGCTAAAAATTGTAATTTTAATAAAACAAAAATTTTAACATACAACCCTTTTTATTTTGGTATATAAAATGAATTATTTTATAACAGAACATGCTTAATTCATTTTATACAATGCCAACTAATATTGAATTTTCAAGCAAACACATTTTTTCTAGCTAAAAAATTTTACAACTAAAATCGGAATACTTTTCCAAACCTAAAGTAATGTTCGAAAAATTAATTATTTTTCAATTACTAACAAATTTTCAATTTAAATTGCAATATTCAATCTTAAATGATCGTTACATGTAATCTTAGAATTTATTCATTAAGGAATCAATTAATTTTATATTTTCATACAAAAAATTTTTCTGCGAATTTTAAAAATTGTCAAATTTTCATGTTCAAATTCTCAAAAATAAAATGATTGAAAATGAAAATTTAATAAAGTGAAGTGTAAATTTGCAATCCGGATTTTTCATTTTTAACTATTTGATTCTGTGAAAAGTACATATATGTAGATCTATAGGAACTACCACGAATATTTTAAAAAGGATTTTTGTATTTTTATTTTAAAAAAATAAGGATATTTTTTTTTTTTATTCGAATTCCACATTTATTTCAAAACCCATACTAGTAGAGTTGGAAATGTTGTTGAGAATTTACAAGTATTCTTGCAATTTTGTTGTTTAGAAAATTTTCTAAAAGTAACAATAAGTTTCAAATAAATGAAAGCATATTTATACAATGTATATGTAGATTATATACATACATACAGTATATACGAGTATAGTATTGTTAAGGAATACAAAATGGAATCAAGTAAAACCGTTCTTATTTTGTATGGAAAATGTAACTTTTTACTTTTATAATAAAAATGTTAATTGTGTTCAAAGGATTTTTGTTTTTTTTTTTTCCATTTTTTTTTTTTTATTTTTAATTTTTCTAATTTTTGCTTTTAGTTTTTTAGTGTTTATTTTTTTTTATTTTTCATTTAAGTTTTTCCTTTTAATAAAAAAAGTTTTTCAGGGTTATTTTTTCCTGGTTTGTTTTTTTATTTTTTTTTGTTTTTCTTTTATTTTTACTTTGCTTATTCTATTGTATTTTAATATCCTTTTTAATAATAATATGTTGAACTTTCTGTTGCTATAGGTACTTGTGTTTTTTATCAGTTATTTTCTAATACGGTAACAAGAGTTAAGCTCGAATGAAAGTTCCTTTTTGTTTTTTTTTAGTTATTTAACTAAATTTCAATTGAAAATGAGAAAAAAAGTTCTTTAATGATTTTAATTTGGTAAAAGAGTGAATTTACAATAATAATGATTGTATTTTTAGAATATAAAGAAAATTAAAGTAATGTTATAATAATTGTTTCTATTGTAATAGCTATATACTTACATTCCTTCTTTTTTTCTTATTTTAATATAAAAAGTTTTAAAAATTTTCCATTTCAAGGTTATACTGTAAAAAAATTTAATTTAATAATAAAAATACTAAAGGAAAAATTAAAATTTTTTTACAAGTTGATTATTGACTTTATAAAATAGAATGTTGATCTATAATAAGAAAAATAAATAAATTTTATTAAAAATATTATTGACTGCATGAAATATGGTTAGGTACTTAGAGAAATGTTATTAAAATGTAAATAATAGGCAAAATATTCTTGAAAAATTTAAAAAATTAAATATTAAGTTAAACAGAAAGTGTAGAATAAGAACAGATAAAAAATTTTAATTTTTTCTTGTTGGTAATCTTACTAAGCAGCAATTAAAGCAATTTCAATACTAATAGTTTTATATTTAAAAATAAATTTCTGCGTGAAATAGGTTCCGAATTTAATTAAAACAATAATTCCTATAGCACATTGAAAAATAGGCACTTTCCAAGTACGTCATCAGCCTGAAGATTATATCAATTACATTAATAATTCATTTACAAATTAAAATCATTTTGAAAATTAAAGCACTCATTTTGAAAAAAATTGTTCTTTCGAAATTTTATATTAATCAATAATGTTCTTGAAATTACAAACTGTAATTTAAAATGCTAGTGTCAAATATTATTTTGTGATTTGTGACATTCGCTAATTGTTTGTAAATGACGTTCTGGGAAAATGCGATATGATGATTACGTATTAAATTAAGATTAACTAGAAAAACTACTTAAGTAGAATTCGGAATTATTATATTGTTTTTTTTTTTGTTCCAATTCAAATTCCTCAATCATTATAATTTTTATTTATATTAATTTTATGATATTTCTATGAATGCAGATCAATTGATTCCGGCATTATAAATTAAAATTTGAAAAGCTTCAATTTTTACAAACATAAAAACACAAATTTAAATTTTTATTTTAATAAGCTAGAAGAACTTAGTGTTAATGTAAAAAATGTGCATTTTAAAATCCACTTTAATTGAAATTTTAAACAAATAAAAAAAAAATTCGTTCGTCAAAAAATTTCAAGTTGGATAAAAATTACATAAAAATTTGGAAAAAGAAAAAAATTTTTTTCTTAATTTTTTAATGTGTCATGTTCCCGATTTCGCGAAATTTTCGAATTCGGAATTCATATTGCGTATTTTGATATTAATTGAGATTTAGCATCAAATTCTGAAAAAAACCCATATGCATTTTTGTACAACTCGGTTGTTCTTAAAAAATCTAGGCTTTGTTAGGAGTTAACAGTCATGAGATTGAAAAGATTTTCGTCGCTTTTTAGCAACTTTAAATTGTGAAAGACGCAATAAAGCAATAAAATAAATTTCCACACCTTTATTAGATTATTTTCAGAATACTTTTTGTTGGGGTGGATAAAAATAATCTTGTAATAAAATTTTATTGATAAAAAAATTTTTCAATGACCAAAAAATTGTTTATTTTCTGATATATGAAGAATGAAGAACTTTTGTACCAAAAAAACAATTTGTCAATGGCGATTAAAACTTTTTAAACTCATGGTTTTTTTTCACTATTCCTCAATGCAATCATTTTTTTTCATAATAGTGTTGTTACTAGTATTAAATTCATATTTTATAATTGTTTTATTCATAGTTTGTCCTCATATATATATATATATATATATATATATATATATATATATATATATATATATATTGAATATCGCAGACTTTATTCCAAATTCATGTTTTTTTGAAATCCATTGGGTTTTGTAGAATTCGAATTGAGGTTTTTTTTTTTATTATATTATTAATTGTTATACATTTTTATAAATGATTTTAACAGAAAATTTTCATCATTAATCAAATTAACAAAAAAAAAAATTTTTTTTTTTCCTTGTATTTCATTCTTGTCATAACATTGATTTTATTCACATTTGTCATTTTTGTGTTGTGACATTATATATATATAGCTACTTCTCAGGTGGTAAAAAGTACGGGTACTTCTAGAAGGGCTAGAGACATGGAACAAAAGGCATTAGATAGAGTTTTGCCTCCAGGGTCCCAGAAAAATCTGACATTGGAACTTTTTAGCCCCGAAATAGCTCTATTTTAAGATTTTCTGAAAAAATTTTTGTATAACAAAAGCACGTTTTTCTTTTATACTTTTTATAATTAGAAACACAAACCAAGAAATAAATGATACGTTTTACGTTATTTTTATTATTAGAAACACAAACCGAGAAATAAATAATATTTGAAAATGCAATGATCTCACATATATTTTAATTTCGAAAAATCGAAATAAACTTAAATAAATGTCAGATTTTATAAAAGACATCAGATGTTTTGTGGCAGCTGAATATTAATGCTTCATTTGTTATTGTTTTGAATATTATGTTTCGTCAGCAAGCTTTAAAAAAATATACATACACAATTTATGTACGTATGTATCCACCTAAAATTTTATTTTTATTGTTCGAGCGAAAACCTGTAAAAAATGCTAAATTCCAATACATTCATATATACATACATACACACATATATTCATATATACATTCATACACATATTTTTACATACATAAATTATTATTTTGTTTTTGACTAAACCTTTTCTTTATGTTTAA